CTGGTAAGCCGACTCCTGTGGCGGGTCCCGTTGGTGTGCTGAAGCAGGGCCACCATCGGTGAACCAGTGGTTTTGGGTGAGCCTGAAATAAGAGTACGAATGAATTAACGAATGAAGAAAAACATGAACAAGAGCAAGAACATTTAATGAAATGAGAACAAAATTTAAGAACAATTTTATAGTATGAGCGGATATAACCTGAAAGGCCAAAGCAATGTCGAAACTACCGTAAATTAACGATAAATTATCATTAAATTCACACCATATAAAATTTTAAAATTCAGGCAAAAAACTTATCTTTTGGTGTAGGTGTCCGGCGCCACACTCCCTCCTGCACTGCCGCACCTGTCGCAGAGATGGTACGGCGTCAACACACGCTAAACGGGAGGCCACTTAAGTAGGACTCGATAGGTGCAAAAAAGGTGTACTTCGGCAATATTAACAGCAAAGATGGGAACAGACGAAACACTAAACAGGAAAAATACAAACAGCATTATGTCTCTAAGCAAGCTGTTTAAGATAGAAGTATTTCAGCGAGCTTGAAAAAAGATTGGCGAGTTAATTAACGATACAGACACAGTAATTGGAATTGATGGCTGAGCTCGTATTAAAAAATCATTCTTTTCTTACAAATTTCATACAAAGATACTTTTTAAACGTCTCAATACGTTGCTTCTATGCTAAAATGTTACTAACAAGTCAAAATACATCTTGAGTTTGTAATGTGACGATTATTTCATAAATATGCAAGATATTACAACAAAAATTACCCGACGTTTCGTTTATTATAACTTTTTCAAGGGTAAAAGTTATAATAAACGAAACGTCGGGTAATTTTTGTTGTAATATCTTGCATATTTATGAAATAATCAAAATACATCGATTGAGTGGCAAACATCAATCAATACATTCCCTTATTCCAACCAATGCAAGGCAATGTATTTACTTTCAGCATTTGAGTGACCGAAAATCAAATTGACAACGGTGACCAACTGATCTCTAGCAGCCTAAATCCAGTGCTCAGCACGCACTTACCGTTCAGAGTCTCCTGACTGGCGAACCAAAGACCATTGGTCTCGACTCGCCGCACCCACTGAAACGACAGAAGAAAACCGTGTGACCTGCTGGGAGCGGTGGACAATATTTACTAACCGTGCTTAGCGAACAGACACTATCGGTGTTGTCACTTAATTTAGGCATATGAACAATTGAACACAACATTAAGCGATCGAGTCGTATTTTCCTTACTATGTCTGATATGCGTGCCTTCGAAGCGTTAGCGATATAGAATATAAACACAATTTGTAACTCCATTCTGCATTGGTATTACGATAGATTAATCGTAATAACAAAATTGATATACCAGCAACACAAGTATTGATTACCGTATAATTGATCGTAAAGATCGATGACCCACCTGATCAGTGATCAGTTTACTCCAGTGGTGGGTTCCGGTGGTGTCATGAAGCAGCTTCACCAGCTTCCAGCCGCACCTGAGGCAATAAAACAAACGAATTGGTATAGTTGAAGACCAGCACGGTTCGGCGTGGTGTCATGGATTCAGTGCTGCTCCTTCTATAGCACAGACTCACCTGATATAAACTGGCGTCTTTGGCGGATAGATCGGTGGTGTCTTGAAGCAGTGGACCTGAAATAACGAATCATCGATTAGCGAAAAATCACAAAAAAAAAAAACACCTCAGCGTACACTAGTGGACAAATTTTGCGGACAAAATACAACACGAGGATTCTGGTCGGGAACGGGTCTGTTAACGATTGGAACATGTTTATTTCAGCGTACATAAGCACAGTTCATGACGCAGATACGTACACAACACAAAGTGGATTACCATACAATACCGCCCCAAAGACACTCACCGTTCGGGGTCCGATGACGGGTCGTTGGGACGCGGGACCCGTGACGGGACCGGCTCCCTCTCCGGTGACCGTCTCCACAGCACAGAGAGGAGGTAGCGGCACCGCAGTCCAGACCACTGACCCGACAAACCAACACTGAAACGGCAGGGCAGGGGTCGAGTCACTCACTGGGGCATGGCGGCTTCGGACAAAGTATATCTTTAACAGCATACGAATGTTGCAAATAATCAATTACGTAAACAAATAATCAATTAAACTTTTCATGTAACTGATTATTAATGTCTTCTTCGAGCTCTTGGGACTATACCGATTACGAAATAGAGTGCGAGTATGTCTATCTGTTCTGGACAATTTCGTGATATTTGTCCGATTTTGTCAGCGGTAGTAATGCAAACGCATTTTAACTTGGACACATTTTGGAAACACAAATGAAAGCTCACTGGCTTAGTTTGACATACGAATATATTATAACGAAGGTATTATGAAAATATTATTACGTTAATATACCGTAAATATCATCCAGTTCAGTTACCTATCATCAGGCTATCAAACAAGAGTTGCCTTGGAGCTGCAGTATTGTAAAATATCCGTGCAATATTGCATGGTTCATTTACATAATGGTGCATGGTTATTGCAAAATTTGCAACCTCACTAAATGCCAACCTATCCTTAAAACAGCTCAACACATTACACACTCCCGTCCAACATCAATGAAAAACATCGGCTTGCTTACCTTTTAAAAATATCGGCGGTATTCAACCAAAGTTCTTCACCACGCCGCGAGCCGCCCGCCCGCACCGAGCGCACCGAGCAAAGGGTCGCGGGCGCGACGGCCAGCCTCGCTCCGGCCGACCCCATACCGCCCGGGGGCAGGACAGACGCACGGGCGGCTCCAGGCACGGCGACTGGGGCGGGCCGCAGTGGCTGGCAGAGGCGGTGCCAGGCACGGAATCCGGGGGAGCAGGGTCGAAGAAAGGGGCGTTAGATCTGAATGGCCACATCTTTACTCATTATCTACCCACCTAACAAAAAAGGAACATTTTAGTGAAGGATCAGCGAGCAAATACGTTACAACAGCTGGTATCCCAAAAACGTAGACAGAATATTTTATGACATGGTGCTAAATGTGGAAGTATTAGCGAAAAACGCAATAGGTAGCCTTCTTTGTGTGCAAATATTTTCGTAAATTTCGCCCAAGGCCATTTTCAGAGTTCAGGGAACGTCAAAAACACATGTGACATGATGCAGAAATTGCTTTAAATTCGAATTAAATACCTACTACAGCAATGAAGAAAACTGCAACAATAGAACAAATATCATGATGTATGTTCAATTTTTATTACGCATTTTATTTGTTTGTATTTGACTTGATCATTGAGTTTAATTATACCTATTTTCTAATTGTGTGTAACTCACACTATCCTTTACTGCAGGGAGTAGAGGCGGTGGGAAACGATTGACAGGCATTCATCGATTAGATTCAAAGATAACAACTCGCAGTGGCGGATCTCCAGAGAAGGAAATTCAAACGCTGCGGATTGAACATCGCTATCACCCCTTCAAAAAAATCTGGTTTCGCTTCTTTGCATATGCGGTAGGAACTTTGGAATATAAAAATCAAAGCTATTTGATGCTGATAAAAATACATAAAATGTGAGGAGGACCGCACTTAAAGACGGACGCTGAGACGTAGCTATGCACCATGCAGTGCATTCGTGAATGGTGATGACACGTGAATTTGCCAACGAGCAAAACCAACATTGCCAAACGGTAGGCCAGGGGTAAGTAATGGACAGGAGATAATTCTGATGATGCTTACGGATTGGACCCAACGAGCTCAGCCTGTGTGACGTTCGTCGTGTACGTTTTCCAGGGGAAATTCGGCTGCTTCGAAAAAAAATATATGTCCATTCATCGAGCGATGTGTATTAAAATTACATCCTGCAACACTCAGCATCGATTGGGTAGAATCCAACTAACCTATCCCAATGTGCAAACAATATTAGATCAGATAAATAAGCGTCACTCATCTGCTCACTGCGATTCAAAAAGTGAACACATGTTCGTGATCCTGTGAGAAAAAGCTAGTAATAGACAGGCTCGATATAAGGAATACCTCCTTCGTTGCTTACAAATGTCGTAAAACACCATTTCCTCTCACATGAAACTCGCACATGAGCTTGAGAGTGTGACCCATGTGAGTAAAGGGGCGAGGAACTTAATGACATTTCCGGCCTCGACTGAGCGCGGTTAGGAGGAGCTTGACAACAGTTCTAATATTTACTCCTTCTCATCATCATTAGAACATTATATAAGGTCTTGTAAACGGACACTTAGCTATAATTCTATACCTATACCTTGACTTGATATTGACATAGAGCACGGGTTAGCAAACACCTATGAATGAACTAAAATTTAATTTCACAGGTGACCTACTATGACACCATCGCACAACTGCTGGGTACTCTCACGAGACAGAAACGTGTATACGCCACACAAAAACAGAAATAGGTCCACCATCCACCGAATGAAAGCCTACCAATGCCGTCCTGGCTGATGTAAATCGGGCAGCTATTTTGCGTCGGGACCTCAAATTGCTATAGCTTTCAAGGTATTGAGCTAGCTATTCAGGCTATTCATATCGCTACTACATCATTTATATAGTTACAGCCTATGTCCTGATTCCCAGTTTGGCGTTTCTCATTCAGCGTGATTTAAGCAATGCCGATGGGCGACATGGGCTACAGAAAACTAGCGCGTGATGGGTGATCAAGAACTTTTCTTGATAAATAACTGTGTGGAGGGAGACCCCTCATACCTTCAGCACAGCGAATTTCCACCGATACCTCCACATTCTAAAATATTAGGCATAAATAAGTTGACGCTCAAAAGGCTCGGGGTAGGGTGGACAGGTTCGAGATAAATGAAGCATTAATAAGTGAAGCTTTATCAAGAAGTAGTCCCTGAAAGCTGGAGAACGTGTAAGGTGTTGTATTCGTACGTGTACGGATAACAACGATTAACACCACTCGGATATGAAAATGAATTCAATGAAAATACCAATATTTAGAATGAAGACAGAATTATAGAAATACAGTTGAGAAGGACAGTACAGGGTATCCACATACAGTGTAGGACGTAGGCATTGTGTTTAGATTTTCTTCAAGCGCATGGAACAATAACAAAAATGGAGATTAGATCAATTTAACCCTCGCCGGCACAGGGGGGGGGGGGGGGTGATGCAACCCCCTAAGGTTTTTCGCGAATAACTCGCGTAAAAAGCGGCCGATCGCGACGAAACTTTCAGTACCCTCGCATCTATCAATTTTACACCTACCCTGAAAATTTCATGACCCTGACCCAAATGACCTTCGACCTGTGACCTCTTTTCCGAGACCATGTTTGGCCGGAATCGCGATTCGGCGTATGTCGGCTCGCATTAGCCGCGCGTTTGCAAGCTTTTCGTGGTTTCAAACGTTCAAACATGTGATTTGATGTTGCTCCCATGCATTGGGGTGGGTGTCAAGGTCACCTGAAGGTCAGGTCAGGTCAGGTCATTGACCTTTGGTGAACTCTGTTCACTTTTTCGAGTTTTACATGTTTCTAGGCTAGTTTTTGGAGCTGAATTCGAATTTAACAACCATTTGAACATTTACGCAGTAGTTTTGGTGCCTTCGTAACATGTTACGAAGCTGTCAGAGGCGGATGACAGGTAGGTACTACGAATACCCGTCACGACCCCTTACCGGTTGACCTGACCTGACCCGACCTGGTCTAAATGCTTAACATCATCTGTGATCAAAACTAGCACGATATTCGTGATCAGCATCCCGGAAAACCTCTTAGCAGCCACACTTTAACCCGCGAGTTGCTGGGGGGGGGGGCGTTAAGCGCCTCCACTTTTTTCGCCGGGCCATAGCATAAAAACGGCGCGCCATAGGCGCGCAAACTTTTGGGTACCTGTAGGGAATTGATTGATATTTATTGTGACAAAGTTTCAAAAAAATCGGTCGGAAAATTTTTGAGATATCGAGGTTTTAGTGACGTCATGATTTCTGAGTTTTCGACCAAAAACGGCATATGTTCAAAAAATCATATAAAATCACAAAAGAGACATACAGATATGCCCTAAACGCTATTAGACTGCCAATACCTTGAACAATCAAATGGCTATCTTCGATTATTGATTATCGTTCCGCATTTTCCAAAATCTTGAACTGAACCTTGGCAATTTCTTGTGACTACTTCACGAACATGATTCATGCATTTCTTAAATTGAACTTTTTGAACCAAACACGTACACATATGACAAAATGAATGTCACCATCGTGTTCTACGCCCCAAATTACCCACAATACATGTGTCACAGGCTGCGAATATCAGTTTTGATTTTCGGGGATATGTGCCTACCCAGTTGACCTGACCTTGACCCTGACCTATGCTTGACTGACCCCTACATGGAGCTGACACTCTTGTAGACCTTATATGATGGATTGTGCACCGTTTTGACAAAGTTTATGACGAGAGGCGCCCATTGCGAAGTCCTGAAGTCCATGCTACTGAAAGCTCGATTTCAGGTGTTTGACCTGACCTTGACCCGACTTGTGACCTCAAAATTCTCGTCGCGTTCTTTCGTTTGCCGCCTCGTGCGTTTCGTTGCGCCTATTGGTTCTCGAGTTATCGGCTGGGGGCGTTTAACGCCCCCCCCCCCCCCCCAGCAAACGGTGGGTGGCGAAATACCCCAGCAACTGCCGGTTTAAGACTTTCTAACAGGTTCCGATTTTCCCGATTTTTGGGTCATTGACCTGACCTGGAAGGTCAACCGATGACCTAGGACCTTAAAATTGGGTATCATTGGCTTCCTGTCGTGACGGGCAACACGCTCGTTTTTTCCGCGAAGCTCTAGCTCGATCAGGGGCCAAACGCGAGGGGGTCGTACCAACCCCCCCCCCCCCCCTGTGCCGTCGAAGGACTCAAAATGGCCTGTGCCAGCGAGGGTTAATGCTCGGATGAGCTTACAACTTCACCAATAACTAGAACGATGACCTGTGAAAATCTATTTCGCCATTTAATCACGAGACAACTAATCATTAGCTCCTGGTACGGAACAGAATCTACACATGCTGCTCGTACCCGTCTGCCCCACTGGTGACGGACTGTAGCTCGGGCACCGCCACAGTGGCCAGAACCTCCCGATTTCCGGGCGCTGTAGTGTTGCCTCCGACCTCCCGCCTCTCGACCGGGCTCGACTTCCCGCAGATAATCTTCCGATAGGCGGAGCGGAGCTTGGCGTTCAGCAGACCGTAAGCCCAGCCCTCAAAGATGAAGCAGAGAATGCGCATCATATGAACCAATCCGTTCAGCTTGGGCTGCGGGTTCCAGCGGCTGTAGATACGCAGGATCGGAGCCACGATGTCCAGCACTACCGTCAGAGACAGCTGTGGAGAAGGAAATCATGCCTCCCACTCCCGATGGAGGCCCCAAATGTCGGACCCCTATTTTTTGTATCTGTCTGGGTGTCTGGGGCGCATAGCGACACGGGACAGCCGGCTCGCTGGCCGGCTGCCCGTCCGGTCACGTGCTTGCGTCCCGACACCCACCATAAAACCATGTCTTTCGGAAATACACGCTCTCACTTCTCCTCTACCGACTGTGACGCCAACACCATCCGCGGACCCCGTCTCCGACGAGGGCGGCCGAAATGGCCGGCCCACAATTGGTGGCAGCGGTGGGATTCGAACCCACGCCTCCGAAGAGACGAGTCAGATAGTGGCCACTCCCAGATGGGTAACAGAAACTCAAGGACTGTAATAGAAAAAGAACCGAATTAAAATGTGCCGAAACAATGCCCCAACATATACATCATACAAAACAGTCATTCATATTTACAGCTGTACAGTACAACATTTGTACAAAAGGCAAGTAGCACTGGGCGACACAAGTGTCGTAATGCTTCCCCAGGCGTGCCACGGAACCCATGGACTTTCAACGGCCAAAACATTCGGGTCCGTAGGACATTCGAATTTGTTTCCGTGTCCAAGTATTCAAACATGCATCCACATACACTTTTTATTATAATGTTGTGCTATCGCTGTGCCGGTCAGTGATACATTTTCCCTGGTGTGTGATAACAATTGTGTGATAAACGGCATTATGAACTGTGTGAGGGCTGAACATTCATTGGAAGACATCATGGTATAAATGACACGGAAGACATGTTTTTGACACAGCGGATAGCAAAACATTGAATGATTGTTAAAAACGGGCAGTACCGCCGGTCAGTCGATCGAGAGATCGTTTACGTCGCAAAGTGATTAGTAGGTAAGGAAAAAAATGGGGCTAATGAGCCAATGACTAGCAAAAGACCGGTTTGTAATAGTACTGCCAAGTGACTTACTTTAACGAATAAATTGAAGAGGCCAATGTTTTTAGTGGGTTAAAGTGTTATTTGAATATCTAACTATTGTGGTAGAACTTACTTAGTTGTTTAATAATAAAAAAATATACGGTTGAAAAAAAAATGAAGTCCTTTTAAAGAGTGGCGTCTTCTGAACGAGTGCATCTGTGTATTACGTCATACCCGTGAAATCGTTTGGGAAGGCATGCATACAGCAATACTTCTAATGTAGTTATATCGCCGGTAAATTGTTGAATTGGCAAACTTTCTGTGGACAATTTTTATTGCCACTTATCACCTCAGAATGGCCAAAAGTTATTGGTCAATGTTATAGAAGTCGTTTTTTTTTTTACCAGATGACCAAAATTAAAGCTAATCAGTAGTTAGTTCGATAAAGTATACTGTTAATTAATTGGGAATATCGAGAAGCATGCATGTCCTTTGGGTATTATTTGACGCTGCACTCGTTCCGCCACAAGAAGCACGAACCTGAAAAAGAAACAGGGCTAATGTGTCAGTATCAATACATTTTTGACATTGCAACATATGTAAAGAAATGAAAGATGGCAACAGCAAGCGACAACATAGGTTTTGGCAATCATACAAATGAGAATCATTCACCTATCATACTAGCATATATATCTATATCGTGGATGCTTTATTTACAATGAATTGAGCTCAATGAAATTGCAATTGCTCTCTTCTGTTTACATTGAGTAAACCTTTTTGCTCAGCCTTTGGCTGGCGGTGTGCGCGAGGGACGTAATCATCAACCTTCGTTCGCATCACGTGAAATGGGATCTCTGTCACCATTTTTGGCCGTACGTCGGCTATTTACATGCGCGGGAGGGACCTCGTCAACCTCATTGTAACGCAGCATGTCTTCTGCAGGCAAATAATATATTTGAGCGCTAAATGGGCGCTATGTGAGCGCTATGTTCCTTCTTGACGGTCTGGGGGGCGTATGTTTTTGCGAGACCAGAGGTTATACCGCAGGTGATCAGCCTGACTAACCTCTCGGCCTGCTCGACAATTTCGCCAATCTTCCTCCAGCCGTGTAAGATCACTCTGGTCGATCCCATTCTCTTCAGAAGGAGTCACCAACGTCCCTGGCTTTGCCGGCAGTGTAACAGGTGAACGTGCACCGTTGTTGCTGCTCTGTGAGGCATTACCCACGGAACGAATGGCAGATTCGTTGCTGAGAGACTGTGAATCGACGCAGGTGTCGATTTGATCGTCTTCCAAGTTTTGAAGACGATCGATGTTAGGGTGCTCTTTTGTACTTGTGCACTGCCTTGGTGCACGTTTCCAAAATCTGTGAGCACTTTGGTTCATGTGAAAACGACAGGAGTCTACATACTTTTTGACATCGGAGTATATGTTCCTCCAGTAAAATTGAACTCGAATTTTGGAAAGAATGTTTCTAAATAACTTTTGTCCTGAGGAAAAAGTGTCATGGACTTTCTGAAGCGTCAGTTTTTTCATTGACTTTGGAACTACAAGTTGGTTCATGAACTGACGAATCTTGGAATTTTGTTTGGCTACATGGTAAAGTAGGCCATCTGTACCTAAGAAAAAGTTGGAAAGAGATTCATTCAGCTTCAGATCAGGGCCTTTAGCTTTCGGTTTCACGAGGCGATCAATGATTGGCCTCAAATCTGGGTCTTTTCGCTGTTCAGCTTTGATTTTCTCTTTTGTCCATCCTGCGGTTTCCGCAGAGACATGGCCAAGAAAGTCTGCTTTGTTTTGTGTATCTAATTCGGCACTAGACGAATGATC